ATCAAAGGCTCATTATCAAATCCACCAAAAGACCTGAACACATGCACACGTTTGTTAGCACGTTTGTTTGTTAGCACTGTTAGCACTTCGATGTTAGCCTGCGATTTCAGAAAATCTATAGAAACGACGAAGACATTCTCATGCGCTGGAAACGCCGCCTTTATTGTATCTTCCTGGAGGCCAAGGGTCGCCTCTCGCCGTTGCCATGGAATTTTCATGTTTCAGAGGCATGGCTTTCCGAACCTGCCAATGATTCATGGCATACATGTATTTTCTGAGCTTAGTTAAATTGATTTTGCTACCAGGCTCTCTTCATTCTGATATCACCCGAACAGACCTGTTCAGAAGAACATATCTACATATAAATGTACATTCCACGAAGATTCATGTGTGCAAGCTCATAGTCTTGCAAAATATTCCATTTTCCAGTGTAAAAGGCTGCAATGAAATTATGATGTATTACGTAAAAATGTATGACTGCATAAATTAGAGTCCCAGTAAGCTATGGATGCAAACAATGATGCGTCTAAGCTGGTGTAATACGTGAGTGAGTGAGTGAACTAGAATGATGGAAGCTAGTACTGGTACTGTGCTAGGTACATGTATACAGTGTCAAGCAATGCCACTTACAGAAAATCAATATGTTATCCAATACACCACACCACCACATTGCGCTCTTGGCCGATCCACACATCACCATCACCACAGGCGAGGACAATTCCGGTATATAGATCAATCAATATGTTGTCAAAAAAATATTATAATTATCAGTGTAGCTTTCAAAGAATATACAATATACACTGTAAGCTGTGTGTTACGGTCCATGCATAGACTAAGGGCAGTTTATGCCTGTGCTAGTGAAAGTGCTACGATAGTGTTCAGATTTTATATTAGTTTAGCAAGGAACTGCACGTATGCGCCACTCGTCACATCATTAAACCAATGACATTTTTACCCAGACAATGCAGTTCATTTCCTTCGTCCAGGCTGCACCAAGTCTTGATCACATACTACCTCATGTCGTCTGAAATTATCTAAGGTACCATCCATCACATCCTCTTGGAACTCAGATGATGTTCCTCCTGGACACACTCAGCATTACCAGAGACTCATCCAGCAGAGGCCAAATGTCGCTGTCAAGTTCATAGCGTATAGCCACAGTCTCCCTGGCGGTCAGTGGACGACGACACAAACCCAATGTGTGGGCATTGCGGCACGAATCGAAGTCGATCACTTTCTTCTCCTCTGGGAATGTTGGGATGCAAACTCCATTGAAATACTTGCATGGCGGACTTCCCTGGAAAAATCCATGCACTGTTCGGTTGAGCGGCTTAGTGGAGATTAGGTCAGCGCAATTTGTCTGGAAGTTGACCTCTCGCATTCTCATACAGTTGCTCGACGGTGGACACTGATTTCCTGGATACACTCGTGTTCCGGAGCACGAGTCGGGGTAGTCGCGTATCTGCTTCGGTGCGCAATCCACTCTCTTCGTGCGGTCGGCAAATGCCTCGGCCACTGCCCCCATAGCGTAAGCCATGATATACGCCATATCGACGTGCTCGGCATCGCTGCTACGTGCTACGCCAATTATAACCTGGAGAACCGACGGGCTTGGGTTGTGCACTACATTAAAGCCTCTAAATTGACTGCTGGCTATTCCGATGATGTCATTGAATCGACCTGTGATGTCAGCAGGCCAGTCGGCCACTTGCTCCCAGTTGCGTAGGATCTGCGACACGTCCTCAATGCCAACTCTCTCCATATCCTGCTGTCTACGCGTGGTGATGTTGTGAATGAGTAGTGATTGTATCCTGTGCATGGGGATATAGTGATGGTATCCACTGTCTATGTAATCCACTTCTCTGGTTAGCGCAGCAATGATAGGATTGTGCTCGGGATAGGCTTGATCATGTCCTAGCACACCGTCAGTAACATCATTGTCTTGGTAAGCAGTTTCTCCATCAGCGCTGGATTCCGAGGTGCAGGTACTGATTACCAGCGGTTTCGGAATGCTCTTGCACTTGCTGCCATCGCGACTGACGCAGTGACGGTTGCCGGGTGCGATGCATCGCACAGTTCGCATCATCATGCACATACCGTGCCTCCAGCGTGGCACCCACACACTGGGCTGCCATTGCCAGTCAACCTCTCCGTCGCAATCATCCACACCACCACTGCTGGCTATGTCAATGCTACTCGCCGCATCACAGGATACTGAAAAGGCACACTTCACTCTGTAATCAGGTCGTCCAGTGTAGTTACACTGCTGCCCACTAGCATCCCAGTGCATGCAGTCCGATGCCATGCACACGGCCACCAGCATGGTGAAGTTGGTGGTCCTACCCTGCATGTCCACAGTAGGAAAACATTTCGTGTATCCCAGAGACACCCAGCTCCAAGGGTGTTTTTCCTTAGCATCGTGGCATTTGCTGCCACTGATCGGCTGAGGGCGTGTGATCGCAAACTGTGGTGATGGGAAGAAGTAATAATCTAATGACCGATATATCGCCAGGGCTTCGAACGCCACGATTTCGAACGTCAAGAACATGACCTCGATATCCGTGGCGTCCACCGACTTGGAGTTCTGCGCCTGTACATGATTCTTCGTTTGGTCCGTGTAAAACTCGCTGGCACTGGTGGCTGTAGTCTCCCAATGCTGCCCATAGCCGAGTGGGGCCACTGCAGTGAAGACTGGACTGGCCAGTCGTACCACAATGCTGCAGTGCGTTTTCGTCTCGGCGGAAACTTCCGTCAGCACCTTGACCATCTGCACTTCTGGAGTGCCCTTCTGCACAACCTGTCCTGTTCTGATCTGCCACACCGGACCACCTAATGGCTCGCTCAATACGTGTGCTGCAGTGTCACTCGCAGACTCACTATCCTCGCTGCTAGCAGCTGGAAAATATTTCCTTTCGATGTCGGAGATTGCAGCTGTGGAGGACGCATCGCTACAGCCCAGGTTTTCCACACTTGCAGCCTGCACCAGAGTCATGATGTCATTTACTGACTTCAGCTTGCCAGTTTTCTTCAGTGCGGACAGCTTGAACCACGTCTTGGGTGCCTCGTGGATCATGTAGTCGATGCCAGCGTCAAACAACGAGTTTTTGGCCGGAAAGTTGTCCTTGGACTGGGAGAACTTTGTACTGCTCTGGGTTGGCAGCATCATAGCGACGGCAACGGCAAACAGAGCGGCCAGGTGCAAGCGAGGAGTGCCTTCACCCATCCTGATGGCGGGAACAAACGACGTGGCCACAACAAGAATGAAGACAACGCTTCGATGTTCTGTTCTGTCTGAGTCCTCTCCTCCAACTAACAACCAAAGTGCTAGTGCTATGAGCGTTTTATAGTCAATGTAAGTATCTTCGTTCTACGAGTCATTTTCATGCTCAGAAAAGACTTCCCTGGCCCCGTCTAGTACCGTGGAGACCATAATGTCAAAACATAATCCAAATGCTATGCTGACGTTAGAAAGCTTACGCTAGGATGTAGATTACCCAATGGTTGACTTGAGATAATACTTTACTCATGTCCCAACATGACAGTACTAATCCGTAGATCCCCCAGCTACATGCCAGACGGTTTGTCACGTAGACCTACCATTTGCACACAGTGTGAATTGAAGGCAACATTGAAATGCCCTTGTTTGATGTGTTGACACACCGGTGACAGACTCTGTGTAGGACGTTTGCCTATGATACTATTGATAGCACATAGCACAGTAATCCAATAACTAGGATAATACATGTAGTAATAACACCCACCTGGACCAGGTCACACCAAGTGTTCCCATAGCCAGTGACCTCACTCCTGAGGCTCAGAGATGGTGATGATACTGAGTAGGCACAAGCCAAAATGAAGTTTACTCAGCTCAGCTTATTAGAGTTGGTCACGGAGTTGACAGCTGTGAAAGCATTGGTCAAGACAACCTACCGTGACTTATCCACACGAACCACACTGTCACAATAATGGACATCTCAAATAGATTCGAGTATAGGCAGAATTATTTGTACAGTGTATACATGGACGCACCCCCCCCCCCCCCCCCCACACACACACATGACAGTGCACCATGTTACATGTACATGTACATGTATGCCCGTTGCAAGAGACGCACACAAGTCTGCAAATGCAATTCATATCTTTTTGCATCTTTCCCTCGAGTGGGTCTATTGTTATTAGGCAATTGTCTGTTATCGTCACCACTATAAATAAAAATCCAATCCAATCCAATCCAATCCAATGGATGCACACCCACTGGTTTCCTCTCATTATAGTAACGACAGCGGACAGTATCTGAATGAAACACGCCAAGACAAGCGCCAGATAATAACTATTCTAATCCATACAACTGGCAAAGCCATGTGAATCTACCCCCAATGCACACCCAGCCTACGTCACAGAGAGCAGATCGGAATAGGACGGCCAATACAGTTACCTATACAAGTACGTATTTGATGGTGTAACCAAGCACGCCGCTGCTTTGATAGAAGCATTCACTAGATGCACTGGTACCTTGAAGTGAAATTGGACACAGGCACACACGCACACACGTGTTTGTGTGTACGCGCGCGCGTGGGAGCAACCGCACAAAAGTGCATCTTTCCTTCCTACACATGTAAACAACGGAAAGTACCACTAAACTTGTGCCTATGTGTACGTGAAATCGGGAATGTGTGTGTGTGTGTGAATGTGTTTGTGTGTGCATGCGCGTGCGTGCGTGTGTGTGTGTGTGTGCGTGTATGATGAGAACAAGATACTGCAGCGTACACTCAGACTTGATATTTTTCGGTGTCCAACCTCTTCTACGTGCAGCGTATGGACAGTGTCTATCTAGAAGACACTGTTTATGGTTTCAAAAACCAGGCTGTTTATCTTAAACACATTATCATTATACGTGCTATTAAATTTATCATTGCTTGGAGTTTGCACCAAGCAGCCAATATAAACCTAAGAGAGACACCAACCAACAGCCCAGCCCCAAGGCAATTGGACATGCATCA